GCGTGCAGAATTGTCAGCTCAGGATATCGTCATGGGTTAGTTTTAATCTACTTTTTGTGATTACTAATTTTCACATTGCTTGTTAATCCTCAGTGTCTATCCCATATACTAAAATAGTCCTTTTAAGAAGAATTCACATTTTCTTTATCATGGGTTGATTTTAAGCTGGAGGATTGTAAAATTATACAATGCTTCAGTGCTTACTATGTTACACAAACATGCTATGTTTTTACGTGAATGTAAAGTATTAATTAAAATTAATAATGAAGGAAGATTATTTCTTCAAATGGCTTGGTGATATTTAAGTATAAGTAAAAGTCATTTTACCGGCTATTAAAGCATTCTGTTGCACATCTTTTTCGGTCCTCTTTTTTGTCTTGGATAATTTGGGATCTTGGAGCAGTAGTCTTTCTACGTAGTATCATCTAGAAATGCTTGAGCGTATACCATCTCATTATGTTTGAATACTTTCAAATCACTTTTTTTCTTTAATGCGTTATAAAAGTCGATATTTTTTAAGGAAAATATAAATTTCAATGGTTAAAAAGAAAGGTTTTAAATTAAAAAAAAAAGAAAAAAAACCTTTTCAGTAGATGTTCCACGAAATTTTCGTTTACTGGAAGAACTTGAAGATGGACAGAAAGGCAAAGGTGATGGCAATATATCATGGGGACTTGAAGATGATGATGATATGACGTTAACACGTTGGACAGGGATGATTATTGGCCCTCCAAGAGTTGGCTTTTTTTTCCTTTTTTAATTTTACGTTTTGTATGGTGATTTTATCTGGAAGAAATTTTAATGAAAATTATTGTTTTTTTGTTGTTACCTCTGTAATTGCTTCAAACGGTCAAATGGTTAAAAATGAACCGTAAAAGACACATAGAAGATTGTGTCGGATTTTTTCACTCATTCGATGCAATACTTTTATTGGATAAGATTGTACGTTGTTAGGGCCGTAGTTGAGAATTTTCCAAAAGAATTAAGAATTAGTGTGTCTAATCAATGATTAATAGTTTAATCTAGCTATCCGAGCATTTTGCTTAATTTATCAGTTGATTAAACTGTCAACTTTAATTTAGACTCCATTCGAATCCAGAATATATAATTTACGCATAGAATGTGGTCAAAACTATCCAAAAGAAGCACCAACTGTGCGGTTTACGACAAAAATCAACTTGAACGGCGTGAATCAAGTTAATGGCATGGTAGTTGGTTAACTTAACTTTGCTAAGTTGTTGAATTTTGTATTTATGCAAAGCACAAAGCTGAAGTTAAGAAAAAAAGAAACAAGGGATGGTGAATTTCTAAACTTCCAAAAATTTAAATACAACTTTGAAATTGCTTTTAAAACTGTACAATTACCCTTAGATAAGTTGATATCCGTAATCGTAAATCTCCTTCCTTTCCACTCTTTTTAAAGATTGTGCTTCCGGATTTCTTGCTAACGTATTCTGTCTTTTTACGCAGTGTTACTTTTTGTTTTTGTTTAAAGCACTGTCAACAGAAATGATTTCAAAAATATTGTGAACAAATTACTCAAGTTTAAAAGTACTTAATCACAGGTGGATAGGCGATGTGTGCCCGTTCTCCGTCAGTGGAATAACACATTTTATATCAAAACGATTCTTGAAGATATACGAAAGACAATGATGACTGCAAAAGAGAATATGAAGTTACCACAGCCTCCAGAGGGTGCCACGTATTAGGATTTCGTTTTTTCGAATTTTCTATGATTTCCAAATTCAACAGCCCAACTTCTCATATTTATTGTTAATATTTGATCGTAATTTAATTTCATCACATGAGATCAATTTTTGACTTTTTTTCGCTTGGAAAGGAATGGAATCCAATTGGTTGCAATATTCAAACTACTAATAGCATCGTTTTTGTTTTGTACATTATTATTTCTGATTTCACTATAACTTCACCAAACTTCTAATGTTTTTATACGAAGTCTGATGTTTGAATATTCCAACGAATCTCTTCTGGAATTCCTGGTTGTTTGTATAAGTTAACCTACTGGAGGTAGCATCTTCGCCACTTTCATTTTATTTGAAAAAGGTTTAAGATATATTTATCGAATGTTATATCCGCGATGTGCGGTTTGTAACTTAGATCTATGCATGGGTAGAGTGTGCATTTGCGTTTTGATAGTCGAGGTTAGATATGGGTTTGTGTGTTTGTTGTCTTCGTCAAGTTTACGGAGTGCTGCTATCTTCTGCTATTTTCTTTTGCCCTTATGCCATCTCTACTTTTAATTTTAATTATTTCAAAAGAACACTCTTGTTTGTCATGTTATAATTAGGATCTTGCGGAATTTCATGAGTACTAAATTAAAGTAATATATTTTCTAATTATGTTCGACATTTATGTTGACAATGTTGTGTAGCAGATTAATTGTTTTTCGTGTGGTACTTTTCTTTTTTGTCAGTGATAGAAAAATGATTTTTTATCAGAACAAGTAAATGTGTTACAATAGCAAGCTTATGAAATTGCTGGTTTTTTTCCAGAATCTTCGAAAAAATTTTGTTGCTTGCTGGAGAAAGCCATAAGAGCGGAAGTACTTGTTCGCTTTTGTTTTGAGAAAAATTATGCGTACAAATTGGTTTGTTGCTATGCTACAAATAGAATATTTGTTTAGTTGTAATGGATTGTTTCTTCGCTTCGGTTACCAGTTTTAATTTGGTTTTTAAGTTTCATTTTAATTACTATTTAAAATAAAGATAGCTTTGAATGAGTATTTGGCGCTTTTGATTTTTTCTCAGTGAGGTCGTTACAATCGGTAATGTATTTAGCGACACTGTAAATAAATAAGTAAATAAATGAATCAACGAAAAAATAAGTAGTTGAATAAATGAATAAAAAATTAGTAAATGAATATAAATATAATGTCCATACATTTGCTAATTCTTTTTTTCATTCTAGTTTTCGTAGCATCTGCGCTAATTTTACTTTGAATGGGAAAAGAATTTCGAATGTATTTGTCAAATCTTGCCTTCTTTTTTTGATTTGATCGTTTAGTGGCAATTGTTTTATCCTTTTTTCGAGTGTAAAAGAAAACTGATAACTGTATGATTATAAGTTGCCTTCTGTCAGCGCAGTTGTCGTAATAACAGTGTTATTTCATAAGGATGAGATATTTTTAAGTAAATGACAGTTCCGTGCCCGACTTCGTTCTTGAAAATCCTTTAATAAGTAGGAATGCAGCTTGGATCTTGGGTCTCATTTTATATTTCATTACTATCTTATATGTTTCAGATTAATAGAAAGTTCTGTAGTGCAGAAAAGTATGATAGGGCATTTGATGTTGCTGCCATATTATCTAGAACTAATTAACACCATTTCCGCTGATTTTTGTGATCTAAATCAGATACGAGAAAGTTGAGGAGTAGAAAAGGACAAATAATTGCAAATTATTCTGTTATTTTTCAAATCGAAAGCAAGCGTGAGTTGCGTCGATTTAAAATCAACAAAATATCTGTTTCCACTATAACCCATCAATTTACAGGCTTTTTATCTATTGTATATAAGAACTCGCGATGAGGTTATGACATGATGTCAAAATTTGATGCCGTGACACATAATGGTAAGTTACTTGCCTAATTTTACTTACGTTGTTCACTCAATATAGTTAAAGTCTAAAATGTGCAAAACTTTGGCAATATTGCTGTCAACATGTCAGATGCTTGTGACAGTGTGACCTGTACTACAGAAAGCATGAGAACAGTTTCAGGCGTAGGTAGTAGTTTTATTAATAGCATAGCTTAGAAGCTGGAACATAGCATGTTTTTTTAATCTATTCATTTTCATCAGTTGCTCAAATTATGATATTTGATCGTAAAATTTCTAAAATTCTGTGAAAGAAAAGCTGAAAACTTAATTATGCAAGAAAGCTTTACTTATTCAGTATCAGTACTTATAAAATTTTATAAAATTTCAGAATTACTTGTGGCGATTCAACGCTATCTCTCTCAAGGCCCATGTCAGGAAGCAGCAAAAACGTTGAAGAACGAAATAGAAAAAATCAGGTTTTTAGTTGTTTTCTAACAACTTTCTAATCAAAATATTTGACAACGTTGGCCAAAGTATTTGATACTTTGTCGGGTAGAATGGTTAAAGTTCTTGCAGTTTTATAATAGAAATCTATATAGTCAAAATATTCGATTATCCAAATATGTATGTCAAGGTTCTCATCAGTCGAAATTCTATCAAAAAGCTTTCTTGCTATGAAATTCCTGTGAGTTTTATTTGATCATCGGAGCATATTTCTCGCCTTATCGATAGCACTTAGGTAGCTACCGCTTACTATCTATTGTTTCCAACCGACCACTCGATTTATTTTATTGAACTCTGAAAAGTTGTTGCCGTAAATACCGATGACAACAAATCCGTTGCAGGATAAAAACAAAGGATAATAACCACCATAGTAACTTACTGGAGCATGTCACGTTTTTTTTTTTCGGATTCTTTCATCATTCCGCTCTTTCGAGAGCAATACGTCGGAAGATCAGCATTTTCTACCTTTCTTTTTTTAGAGACATGGGAATTTTTGCCAGCTTTCTTTCATTCTTTAAACTTCTTCTGTTGTTTCTACTTAATTTGCTTTATATTGCTATTTTTCAGTTACTGCCTGTACGATATGATTATAAAGGCGAAGCTCATCAACGTTCTTTCGAAGATTTCGTAAGCTTATTTATTGGACGTCAATATTTATTCTGTTCTTTTTCTTTTTTAAAAATTTATTTAAAATAAATCGCACGATTTGACAACGATAAATTCAGGATGAAGTGTTGTGATGTACTAATTATGTGGAAGGTTTAAACCGCACAAATATTTTCTTCTTTAGAGTTTGTACTGTTTCAATAATCATTTTCCTAGAATTAACTTTTTTAAGGAAAGATCCGTTGTGCCGTTAAATATTTCACTGGTTTCCTTAATCGAGCGTCTTGGTTCTCTAATCGCCCTTGCAGTTCCGATTCCCTTACGAAATCTACCTCTAAGGATATATATGAATAAATCATATGCTTTAGACCGGAAATCAGGTTCTCTTTTTACTGCTCGTTTCTATTTGCTACTGTTACTGCATATTAACCTGCTAGTTTTACTGATTGATGCGGCGAAACAATTCCTTTCATGCTTCAGGGGATTTGATAAGGAAGCCAACATTACGGGTTGCCTTAGGACGTTCGAATATCAGTGTGCTAAAAAAACTGAATCCAATACGATCACGGATTGCACGTGAACTGGGTAGATCAATAACACCGAAATATCTGTTGCACAAGGTATGTGGAAATTTGTAGTTATTTTTTCTTCTGTTTGAAATTTTTCTACAACTTCAAACCTTAATCTTTAAATCTTTGGTGAAGGATGTCTTGAATGCATAAAGAAACCTCCTGTTATGAGTTTGTGAAGTCTTTTTTTTTCTTTTTTTTAAAATGTGCTTAGATGTTTACTGTTTGTTTACTCACAAATGGTGTAATTGGAAGTGTTGAGCATGACGTCATAATTTCTTTTCATGTACATTTGCTAATTCTGCTTTTTTCACAGTTATGGAAACTTTTTGTGCATAATTGCCGTACAGATTCAAATAATAAGCTAGATGTAACTGCCATGATATGAAGAAATTTATGGAATTTAGTTTCTTTAATATATCTGAGCAACTGAGGTGATGATTAGACGAACCTAGGAAATAGCAAATAAACAAAAAAAATTAAGACTCCTATATTAATAGATCATGGAATCGCATGATTTAATAGCACGAAATATATGGTAGTCTTAATATCAATAAATATTATAAATATTTGTTAGTGATTTCGCCTACCAGGTTTAGCATCCACTTTTGCGATGCAAGAAAAGAAAATTTTCAGAGTTCAATAAATAACTTCGAATTACATTATCGCATTCTTGGTCATCTGTCATCGGTTTTTTGCGTTGCGTTCGATAAATCTGGCTCTTATGTCATTACGGTGATGTATTTTCTATTTGAAATTCTCTTTCTGAATTCGTTCGTGTGATATCCGAATGAATTTAAATTTACCCACTACTTCGACTTCGACTTTTGTTTCGAAGTACTTTTCTGTAATTTTCTCGAGACCGAGAAACATATACTTGTAAATTTCGAACATATGTAGCAAAGTACGATTTATAATTGGTTTACTGAGGGTAGTAAACGACCAGTTGCAGATGATATTCCTTGAATAATATTGTGATATTTCGAAAGAATTTTTTTCGGGGTTCATAAGCATCTAAGAATAGCATGAATCATGTCAGTATTGAAAGATTAACCTGATTTGTCGCGGGGGAAATCTGGTTATTTTCAGGGCTGCATCTATTTTTTTTTTTTAGGGTGCTGATGACAATCTTGTTAAAATATGGAATGTACGAACAGGTTTGTTGCGTTTCACGTTGCGAGGACATTCAGCTGAAATTTCAGATATGTCAGTCTCAGAGGATAACACGTTGTTAGGTACTGGTTCCGTGGATAAAACAATAAGGTAATTTATACTTTATAAACATATCTACCAATTATATTGTCTAAAATAGTCTTTAATAATGATAAGAAGAGTAATGTGATGATGACAATAATTTTACGGTAGTAATTATAGTGAGCATAATATAGATTGTTGTGACAGCAATGATAATAATGGCAGTGGTAATGAAGGCACTAGTAACAGTAATGATAATACTAGTAATAGCACTTCTTAGCAGCATGTGTACTAGATGAGCCATTTAATACCAACCCAAAAGGTACGATTTTATTATCTCTAACCATTTCTCCCTGTTCTGCCAGTATTAAAATTATTCATGTTTCTCAAGTTGTGCCACCTTATCATTTTTTGTTATCGTTATTACGTTGTTGCTACTGTGACTTTTGTTCTTTTGAATACTGGATGGGAAATGCATTGTAGCAGAGCATGATAAATATAGAAAAATTCCTTCTGCAAGAAATACGATTACTGGCTTGAAAAGTATTTTCCAGACCATGTTTTCATGAGCAGAAATTATAGAGAAAACAGAGTGCTGACAAACTGCAACGGAGACTTTGAAAAAATGAAGGTACCGATCGAAACATATGAATTACACAAAAATTTTAAGAACTGGAAACGTAGTTGAAATTTTTAGGGGTTTAATCTCTATTTCTCAACTAGAACTGATTTTATCGGCTGTCAATTTTCACTTCTTTTATTACCGTGTAATACCAGTTACATTAATGATTGGTGCGATCATTTGATGTATCCATAAATATTTTGCACTGTTGTTCGGAATCGAGGTTTCCTCGCTTAGAATGTAGAAATCAGTGAGGTATTGTCTACAGAAAAAATAGGGGAAAAAACAAGTAGGATGATACAATTGCTAGACTACAGTACTATATAAGATAACGATACTACAAGAGAAGAGTACTAATCTTTCTTTTGCAATGCCTGTCAGATTTTCTGGTTGCACTTTCTCTGTCAGATTTTCTGGTTGTAGCTTCTGGTATTTATTTGTTTGAACTCCAAAACCAGTGAACTCCAAATCTAATCATACTAAGGCTTCCTTATTGATTCGAATATTGGACACATTTCTCTCTGGTATTATTGATTAAATTTTTTTTTCAATTTCAGAGTTTGGTGCTTGCAAACAGCTGCACCCTTGGCTTTTTATCGCAGCCATTCGGCAATGGTGACGCTGATTGCTTTCCTACCATTTGTCGATGGTATAACACGTTATTTGGTTTCGGCTGGTGGTGATTGTCTTGTGAATTTTTATCGCTACAACTCTTTGGATCATGAATTTGAGTATGTTTTTTACACCTAATTCCGTGTTGCCTGAAATGTTAATGTTTTTTTCTTTCATTGTAGGATTCAAGATTCACTGTTTGCTTTTTCAGAGAAGTGCCGACACGATTCTATGAACGTACATCATCAGGTGCTCGTATTGTGAGTTCATGTCATAGCCCCGGTGGTAGCTTGGTAATTTTTGGGGATACACACCACAATCTCAGGATTTATAAGATCACTCGTGACAGTGTTATTAAAGTTAGCGATATTGAAGCACATACAGTACGTGATTTCTTTTTTCTACATCCAAACTTTTACTTAAAATTAATTTCATGATATTAGGAATAAAAGGCGACTTCATATTCGAAGATTGCTCTCGGGGTCTGAATTTGAATTAAAATTCATTTACCAATATGATTTAATTCTGTTGAGATTTGCAAGCACATCGGATATTTTTATATCTTTTCTATGCTTGTTGCTTTTTTCAGGATCGAGTTGACAGTTTGGTATGGGCACACAGCGGATTACGTTTTGCTAGTGGTAGTCGAGATGGTGTTGCTAAAATATGGAAATTTGAATTTAATGATTGGATTCCACTTGTCTTGCATCCTAAACTAAGGTGTAGTTTCCAGAATGTTTTCCGTAAAATTGATTGATATAGTTTCCCAACCATAAAATAGGAAATCATGCAGACTGATGCTTAATCACGGAAACTCATGCAGCCTAATGGAATAATGGTTATTCAATTGTTGCCAACTTTTAGATAGGTATAAGGAAAGAATTTTTTCCAACCTTTTTTTTTCATATATTGCGGAAGTTTTGTGCGACAAAGACCAAATTTTCGGAAAGGTGGCTTTAAAATCGCAGATTTTACAGACTTTCCAATTTCACATTCTTCTCTGACTTCTAAGGAGAGAAGTAAATTAGGGAGGGGGGGGGGAAGGGGAGAGAGAGGGGTTTGTTTCGTGGGTCAATAATTTTTTGCTACATTTGTTATCTGCTAAAATAATTTAAAATATGTTTCAGAGATGAAAAGGTTTCAAATTCGCGTAACACATACAAGGTAACAATGTTATGTTGGTCATTGAGAGATGATTTTATTGTTACCGCTGGCTCCGACTTCGTTTTACGGGTGTGGTCCTCAGTATCCGGCAGTGAATTACGTCAACTGATAGGACACAAGGAGGATGCTTACGTTCTGCATTCACATCCTATATTTGAGGATTACGTTCTGAGCGGTGGTCATGATGGCTTCCTGATGGTATGATTTAAATTATTGATTTACATGGGGGAATTGTAAAGTTTAAATGTCGTAGATTATTTGCACCATTCACAGTAACTGAAAACTACTTACACATCTAATTTGTAAAAAATAAAGAGAATTTTATAGGAATTTGAGGTTTGGACTTATATTTAAATAGGTTTGGAATGTTTATACCGGCACTTTGGTTAAACGGCATCAGAATCTCATCGAAGGATCTGGGTATGGAGCTGTTTTCGACTTTGCAATTTCGCCTGATGGTACTTTGGTTGGAGCTGTCGATTCGCATGGACATCTTTCCATACTCGGTGTTGGAACAAATCAAATGGCTAAGACCACCCCAAAAGAACAGTTTTTCCATACTGATTATATGTAAGTGCTTTTAGAAAGAGGAAAGAGTAAATTTTAAGCTTTCGTGAGACTTCAGATGCAAAGCTGCACTTTTTCGAAATAAGAAGGAGGTTTAGGGTCAGTTGATGAGTGATATTAACTGAATTGACACTTCATGTAAAATTCCAAATAGGATTTGAATTAAACAGGGTTAATTTCTGCAGTATAGCGAGTTTTTCTTTCTTTTTTTGTGGCTTAATCAGCAACAGATATAGTATCACGTAGGAGTTTCTTCAAACTAAGCAAATTAAGGCCACTTATACTGGATGAGAATAATTACTTCGTGGATGAAGAAACGGAAATTGCACCTCATCTTATGGGTCCACCAAGACTGGTTGATGCAGATGGCGTTGACTACGACGATGATATACAGGCAGTAGTACCTGGACGTGATCTATTGCTGCGCGTAATTTTTCACAATTCTTTATTTTGTAGTGAGCGAAGTTTTGTACGAGAATAACTTGTTTACTTAAGTAACTGAAATAGTTACCTGAGATTTCTTTCATCCTTCTTGCTGCCATTATAATGGCACCATCTTCATCTTTGTTTAGTTAACCACTGACAGCCCTTTCAACGTTCGTTTCATGCATAACTCAGTGCTCTTCAGTCCTCTGATAGACTGGATTAAATGATTTATCAAATAACCCCACTATGGTTTCAGGATGATAGCTTGATTCCGCAAAATCCGCCATGGTTATCGCGTCAAATGGTTTGTATGTTGCCGAAATCAACAGTTGAGATAAAAAATATGTATTTGACTGAATTAAGGGAACAAGAAGAGGATATAATGTTACGTGAAACGAACCGAACGCGCCCGCGTGCTATTTCAGTCATTGAACGAGTACTTTTTTTTCTTTTCATACTGCAAAAGCATATCTTAATCATTTCTTGCCTTTTTCGATATTCTGTAGATTAAAGAAGTAAACTGTGGGATCTCAGTTTTATGTGGGACTCTTAGTGAAATTTTTGTTTCAGAAAATTAATGTGATAAATACAGTTTCCCGAAGAAGGCGAGCGGGTAAGTTTCAAAATTTTGTGCAAACTGGTGAAATTATTTTAATTAAATGTATCAGTTGTACCTTAAATATAAGAAAGAAATAATCGTACTTTCCAGTTTTTCCTACAAGAGAATTGGATTCCAAGAGTAGTTTGGTATTAAGAAAACGTGCAACCCAAAAGGAAAAACTTCGTCTACTATCTTCCATTTTTACTATCTTTTAATATTCTGCTTGTTAATGCATATTGTTTATGCAAGAACAGCGACCGAAATTTTGTAGGAGTTCGTTGGTCAGAATGTTTTCCGCAGCGACAGCGAAGACTTCGAAATCAGCAACTAGCGGATGAGACCGAAATTGATGATGATGTAACAGAAGCATCCACTGCCGATTCATCATTCATCTCTACTTCGGCAACTGATGACGAAATTTCAAGTGAAAATACTGCGACTTCTGATGATTCCAGCGATAGTGACTACGTCATTAACACCCGGAGAAGTGCTGTGAGTTGTATATATTGCAGTCAGTGATAAGTCTAGTCTGAACTATCCAACTATCCATTAGTAAGGATTATGTAGGGAGGATGAAGCAATAAAAATGAACTTTCCGGTGTCTTTTATTGAATATAGCATATAATTCAATGTTTTGGATTCTATGTGACAGGAAGACTTTATAAATAAATATTCCCTGAACCGACAGATAGTTGAAAACAGAAGTTATTCTTTTGAAGTGGTGCAGTTTTTATTTTGTGCAACTGCAATGAATCTTTTTTTGATTTAATGTAAATATTTTCTCATGAATTACACTGCATCCTAGCTTGCACAGTAGCATGTCTGCAAAGTAAATAATATTGTTCAAATTAACAGCCACCCTTAGTGGCAAGTCTATTTAAATTTATAGGATTCATTATGTCGAGGGACTATTTTTCTCAAAACATATTTTTGGAATCATTTTCCTCTGTGGTTAATCATTTATCGCTTTTTTGCAGAGCCGGCGCCGAAGAAGAATCGAAGTAGAGCAGGACGGTGGTATTGTTACTTCAGATACTACGTCACCTATTAGAACTTCAACACGAAGGAGACGTCGACGAATTATATTATCGGGTATAGCTCTAATGAACATTGTTGATAATCATTTTGTTGCTAGATGATTAATCCCTGGATAATTCTATTGCCATCTATGTGGGTACTCCCTTTTTTATCTTTTTTTTCCATTTTTTAAAATTGATTTCAGATGAAGCCGAAGATGCGCCGTCAGCTGATGATAATACAATTGATAAAAAATGTGAACCATCCTCTTCAGCTTCAAAATTGTATTATATGGATACCGAACCGGGACCATCAAATGTCAGATCGTCGCTTTCTGCAACTGCAGTTTTACATTCATCGGTTGATAGTATGTCGGGTATTTCTACACCACATTCACCCTCTGAACAAGACGCATCGCCTGCCTCTTTAGATAATTATGACGCTGACGCAGATTTCCCACGATGGATGCGTCTAACACAACCGCTTCGCTTTCCGTATGTTGCACAAATCGGAGATGAAGTGGTTTACTTCAGGCAAGGTAGGTTTGCTTATCAACTGAACAAATGGAGTTTTATGATTTTGTTAAATCATTTGAAAATGACATTGATCGGCTTACATATGCACATAGAAATAAAAGTTTGCTTCCTCCAGTGTTTTCCACGAGGTACGGATGTACCGATTTTTAATCGGTATTTTTAATCATCCATTTGACTTCAGTCATTGCATTCGTGCTTACTACGTGATCAGCCTAGTCTTTTTTTATATTGTTGTTACTTAATATGCTCAAGATGCAAGCAAATTTTTTTGTGAAGTCTTGTAGCCGTAAACCTGCGTATATGTACGGTTCAGTTGATATTGACCCGAACTTGAATGAGCGTTGTCTCAGTGGGACACTTCCTTCTTCGGCATTTAACGTAGTACAACATTGTTGGTAGCATTGATCCACACTAAACACAAAAAAGCATCAACTTTAAAAGGTTCGATGCAATGCCAGCCGTCTGCTTTTTACTAGGTTAGGAATAAGAAGTATTGCAAAAAATTTGTCTTTTTCTTCTGAACAGCTTTTTTTCATTTATTCATATTTAAGAAGAATGGAAAATAATTTTTTTTAGGACACGAATTTTACTTGCATGCCGTAGAAACAAGAGGTTTGTATCACGTTACTCATAGGCTGAAACCGTTGGCTCAACTAAATGCCGAAGAATTTTGCATCGTTGAGGAGGTTGAATATTTTTCCCTTTTAGATTCAGGATTTAGTACAGTTTTCATATGCTTGAAATTTACTTACAGCAATGATTCATTTCATTCATAGTTGCTTGTCGGGAATCAACGATATCAGCTGCCAAATCCATGCAATGCACTCATTGGTTGGAGTATTAGTACAATTTTAATCACTTGATTACCATTGGTTAATACTTGTTGAGCGTCTTCTTGGCTTGATTAAAATATTTAGAAACATATCCCATTGTCTTCAACTGACTTCGACTATCGGAAGTCTTGCGTCACATTTCTCAGAGTAGCATTACTTTTTTAAGATTAATGTGGAATTTTAATATATTTCAGATTAGATATCTGAGAAAACCATATAGGCTAACAGCAGTGAAGCTCGCGCAGACAAATGCAGCCGGTGTACGGACTGGACTTATATTCTCAGTGAAGTAAGTATAATTCATTTTACTTTTTTTATTTGAACCAATTACGTCTGGTTCACGTTACTTATGTAAAAACAGTATTAAAAATGATTTTTGCGTGTGGAGGAGGAGGGGAGGGGAGACAAGTAGTAGTTTGAAGTGGTGAATATAAAAATCGGTACCTCGCATAAATCGTTTCAATCTATTTGAGTACTTATAAATCTGGCTATTTCAATAAACTCGATCTTTCTCTTTGTTTAGCTGAATTTGGCTTTTTTTTTCAAATATTCCACTGCAGATTTCATGATATGGAAAATGTGCCCGACTTCATTATATTACGACATCTTTACGATGAATCAGTGGCACGTCGTTATCAGCCTGGCACACGAATTGAAATTATTTTGGACAATCATTGGTGGACTGGTACCATTGATAAGAAAGAGGTACATGATGAAGAAAATTATCCAAGGTTTGTTTCTTTCTTTTTTCTTAACTGTCCAGTGTCTCACAGTTGGTTATTAGAAACATAATTTTTGAAGGGAGGTTTAACAGGTCATTTTAAGAAAACTTTATTTTTGTAGAATTAAAAAATTGGATCAGAAAACTCATCGTGTAGAATTGTTCCAGATCGAATTGGTATTGTCTTACAGTTAGATGGGATACTGGAGAAGATGAAAAGATGAGTCCGTGGGATGTACAACCTCAGCAACCAAATCGACGTTCGGGTACGATTTCGGATTTCATTATTTATTATATTGGATCAGAAGGGTAATTGAGGAGCGTGAGTTATCAGAGTATCATGAATAAACATGGAGTACAATTTTTTAGAGTTTCAACTGATTTTTTTATTGGCACGTAAGAAACAAAAAAATAGAAATGATAATTGTTATAATTTCATAATTTATTTGTCATCTGTTACTACTACTATTACCGTTATAATTCTATCTACTTCATTTCACAATGATTTGAAGGCATTGCAAGCGAAGAAGACCAAGTATTATTTTCCCAATACCCAGTCAATGAAAGTGATTGGATGGGCGCAGTAGAAGGTATCAGTGCATGTTCGGAACGTTTCATCGATGCTGTGAGAAGCATGGAAGATGATCTTCATGTAAAACCATTCGCAGCACCTGTCAACTTGGCTGAATATCCGGATTACTTGTGGGACGTAGATTATCCAATTGATTTGAGTACGATTGTCGAACGGGTCAAAAATCGATTCTACAGGTTCAACGATTAAATTGATTCGTTGGCATCGGATATCTCATATTAATAATTGGAAAACTGGGCAGTTCGAATTTTTTAACCTTAATTAACTTGTCGGCTTCTATTTATTTTTCAATATTTCCATGATACATTTACCAATACATCGGTTAAAAAGTTGCTGCATTGGTTAGTTAAGGTCAAATAATTCGAACTGTTGGCAGGTTTTCTGACCAGTTAACATTAAGCATTCTAATGTTGGCTGATACAATGACCATAAACCAGCTTTTCGGGAAGCCATATGGAACCGTTCGCGGCATCTCGGTATGACCATGATGCAGCAACATCGAATGATCAATCGGTCGATAGATTTGTTTTGAAATTTCAGAAGATTGGCGAGTTTACAGCAGGATATTCGCTATATTGCAATAAATGCACGCCTTTTTAATCAACCAAACAGTGAAATTGTACGAAATTCAAGAGTTTTGGTAGAAACACTCATTCGTTATCTCAAGTAATTTCTTCTTCAGTAAATTGTATCACACAATTCATTAAATTATATGACGGAATAATTTCTCGATTCCACTCTTACCATACAGAAATAAATACGCCAAAAATTTTAATATCGGATGCTCTTCAACAGCAAACTCAATTGTGGATAAAAAGAGAATGATGCTCAAATTTATTCACTCTTTATTTATTCACTCAAATTTATTCACTCAATTTATTCACTTTCCGCAGCAAAAAAATCTTTTTGTTGCATTACTGTTACACAAACTGGTTTCAACTATATCGGACTTAGTGCAACTTACTATTTTCTTACCTCAGCCTTTTTTTTTCAACTTCTAAGCAAATTTAATTTTAGCGATGCTCAGTACACGGATGCGATGCAACTATTTCGTGTTTTGAAAGCTGGACAAGATAGTGAATTAAAAGAATACAATAATTTGAAGCAGTGCACCAAAGCTGCAGTTGAAGAAATGAAGGAAGAGCCATCCGCTGTTGCAAAGAAAGTAAAACATCGATCGCGTAATAGTGCTATGTCACCGAATCCTTCCATAGATCTTCCTTCTGAATGGTATACCGAATGTGTAGACGTGCTACGAGAAGTGATGTCGGAGCGAACTTCGACTCATTTTATCAGTTCTGGTAGTGAGGTTAGTATCCTGTGCTTCACAAAATATACAGATGTACAAAACTTAAACTCTTCCCAATATTAGATATATCACGATTACTTGGTATCCATCATGTTTTTCATTGCCATTAGAAAAATTATACGTGATGTACACATGCCAGATTTATTACCACCACTTTCTAATTGTTTATTTCCACTATGGCGTAAAGCAATTCTTACGTTGGTGCCACTTGTCAAGACTTAATATTTTTCTGCTATTAGCAGAATCAAACATTTTCTGAATAACAAATTTCGCTTCATCTATTGTTCCTGACGATATTTACTGTATTGCTCATGCATACATAGGTTAAATTCCGAGTACGTTTTAATTGGTTTTCTCGGCGAGCTTTACTCCTTTTCTTCATCACTTGCACCTCTTCTCCGTGTTTCATCGCTTTCAGTATACTAGTATTTCAAATGGAATGAAGTTTGCTGCCATCGTTGTTCTACAATGAATAAATGGAAGACTCTTCTTTGTTCCCAGTCTTCTTTGTTTGGTCATCGTTTTTCTGTATTTTCCATTGCTAGAAACCATACGTTGCTTTCATAATTCATTTGAAATTGTTCGTATTAATAGGCTGTATTTTACAATTACACCCTATACCTCTGAGTTGGGTTAAGAATTCCTTCAATTATCATCAATCTTTCTTTGTTACACATTACATCTGGCAATATTCAAATCAAAATTTCTTGAAGACTAGAAATAGATCAATTGGGGTACCGTTTTATTCTACATATATTGATCGATTCAGCAAGAAGAACTTTTAAGTTTAATCTTATTCTATCTTGAAAACGAAATTGAGTTGATAATTCCTTGTAATTATCATCAATCTTTCTTTGTTAGATATTACATTTGCTCCTTGAAGAAAGCAAAATGATTTTGACATTCAGTTCTGTTTAATTGACCTACTTGTTGCATTTTGGATGATTATCCAAATGAACGAAATTCCATGATCTTTACGGAGCTTTTTTTGTTAGACGAACTATTTCTGAATTCTTGGGGTAAAAATAACGGGAGATAAATGAGATGTCATGAGGGATATGAAGTAAATTTGCAATACTCATCCCATTAAAAAAAAAAAAGTCGCATGGAAGTGTCGTGATAGTGGGGATTCCCATTCCAGTTCCAGAGGATTTTAACAATACCATCAAATAAAATTATGTTGAAATTTACCATTTTTCTTTTCATATTTATTAAATGAAGGAAATTTCATAGTTCAGTGGCTTGCGGATGTATTTTCGTCATATGATGATTTGTTAACTGTGAAGGAGAAGGTTATTACACGAGCATACAGCAGTCCTTTGGAAGTTGTTAATGCAGTGAAAACTTTGATGCAAGCATGCCGGAATGCTGTTGATAATAAGCGTTCGCCGGTAAGAATTTTTGTTCCGCCTTCAGTATATTTGAATATTTCCAATCCAAATATTAGTTGTCGCTCTATGCCTCTACTTCCAGTTTATGATTATTCTTTATATGATCACTATTATCACTTCTTTTCTCGCTTTCCTTCTTTTTACTATGTTGCTGAGACATGACTGCGTCTCAGGCACAGTGTCATCAATAACTCTATGCTGGTTTAATTACCCGCAATTCCGAAATATATTTGACCGACTTTTTATATAAAAACTATTAATGCGGGAAAATCTAATCTATTGCTGGTAGTTCTCTTTAACCAGTATGTTTCCCTTTTTGTTATCACACGCAATGCTGTAAATTGATCTACATTTATGCTGTACACGTGGAATAACCTATACCAATTATTTTCACGAAATAATCTTGCGTCGAAGTCTTATGATAATCATTTCTAATACATGGTAATAACTAATTCAGGAATAGTTAACAACTGATGCCATGGATGAGAAAATCACAATCAGCTCCTTAACACGTCTTCCTTTGTTCAGGTTTTTCGCGACAGCTTAGCGTGTGCTGCATCATTTGACAGCAAGATGGCACCTGTTGTAGCAAAATGGCAACGTATGAGGCAGTCAGAAGCACCCTTAACTGCAAATGAAGGTGAAGGCCACCACTTACGAGATCGGCCAAAGAATTCACATGTCTATAATACAAGAAGGTAGCCGTAACGTCATATTTTGTAAAACTCATTCAGAACATCTTATCTTTTAAGAGCGGTTTATGACTACTTTTGAAGCATTCCAGATTAGTTCTTGTAATTTCAAGACGTCATTTTTGTATTCCTGTTTTCGAATTTTACCTTAATTTCATTAAAAAGAAATTCAGTCGTCACGAAGAAAAAGAACATGACGATCAAAAAAATGGAGCATCGACGAGTACAACCACACTTGTTCGTTCGGGACGGACTGGGAGAATGCCACGCGGGTATTATCGAAATCTGAATAATGGAATATATATTACACAGGAGCAAGGTTATTTATATTTTTGATTTTTTGCGGACATTTTTATTTCGTAATGTGCAGCGCAAAATCTGTATTATTTTTTATAGATCCTTCAAATTTGGGATCTTGTACATGGTCTAGTAATCAGGTTAGTTTTTTCTTTTTTTTTACTTATGGTAGCAAAATAGCAATAGAGTTTGATAACTTTTACTACCCTTTATGGTTTAGTTGTGGGTATGGAAAAAGGCTTTTACCCTGAGACATAATTTGAGACAGGATATAAAATCACTAGTATAATAACGTTTGTCGCCGCATATTTTGCCTTTTTTCACCACAGTCGTTACCGACCCAGTTTTTCATATGGAAAAGAAACATATTGGTCTATTGATTATTCTAGGATTCTGGTCGTGCACGAAGAAATACCACAGAATGTAATCATGCGAGGTTAATTTTCATACTGCCATTTTAAAGAAGAATTAGAATTTTAATAAGGAATTAAGGAGCATTTTTTTGCATTTAATCATTCAGTTTTTTTAGAAACCAGCAAGCAAGTGGTAATAATGCACAATCGGAAGATCAACCAGGTTAGATTTTGGAAATTGGAAAGAGTCTAAATTTCTTATCTTTATTATTTTTTTTTTTAAATAAAAGTGAGCATTCCGTGTACTATCTGCAGTATTAATTTAACATAACTAATGGGGTTGATCAAGTACTTCTTAGATGCCATCAGAAGTTGTTAGTATTTGAAATATTTTTTTAATAAAAAGGTTATCGATATTATCCTTTCGTTAACAGTGATACCATCTGGTTGAAATGTCGGTAGCTATATTTAGTGATCTTGGATATAGCACTACAGTCATCATTTCATGATAGTGAGTGATGGGAATTGAAACGTATCGTTCGCTTGTTATAAAATGCGTTCATATGAATAAGAAATATGTCATTGGGTTGGCTCAGTTAAAATCCTTTATGTTGTATGTTATGTATTATTTCTAGGGCCATCTGGACTGCAGAATAAAAACAGCCTAATAAATCTGAGAAGAAGCTCGAGAAAACGAGAGAAACGTTACAACTTGTTAGTTTTTTCCTAGATGGTTTTTATTAACAACTCTTAAGAAAGAAATGTTTTTTGGTCAGAGAAAAGCTTTTATTTTCTATTTCCTACATAGTGTGCATGCTCAATTCTTTTTTTTATCTCATCCGTTGCGATATGTTACGATGTTGCAGGTTTAGATCAGTTACTCAAGTAATCCTTTTATTGCTAACAGAAAAATTGTATTTTAGTGGTACGGTGACAGTAACGGATGAAAGTGATGAAGATACTGGTAAAGATGATGACATTTTATGCGATGGAAGAAGTACGGCTGAAATAGAAGACGATGATTCGTTAAGCGACTGCAGTTGGAATATGAGAACAAACAATGCGAAGAAAAACAAAAAGTGCGTGCCTAATTTTTCTTGTACTGAAAAGAGATTGGATTAATGAGTTTTAGTTTTTGATATAAAGTGGAATTGTATGCTCCATGTCGAAGTGAAAGTATCATAAATTCGAGGTTGATGAGACCACACTTTTCGTTATCCTATTGAAACGCGTTATGTTGATTTTATTGGATCATGATCGAAATTTTATGCCTTAGTTCAAAATGTAATTTCCAGCCATCGAAAACGAACATGTGGAAGTCAGGAAAATGTGGAAATCAGCAAGAAGCGACGTCGACAAACCACAGTGAAAAAATTTGAGGACGATGCAAATTCTACACCATATTCCATTAGTGAGCAAAATTCATCGATGGCAAGAACATATGTGACTAGAAATCGGCAAGGACATCAGAATCACGCGGCTGCACAAGCAAATGGTGACAGTCACCCTCGGATTCGGTTAAGGCGATCCGTTCAACGAAATGTTAATTATAATGAGAATGAAGTTAGCGATGACGATGATGACGATGATGAGGCATCGAATAGTAGTGCTAAACGGAAGAAGACTCGTAAGCATGATAAGTAGTGTATTTTGCCATATTTTTCACAGTCTGCAAATTTTCAACACTGTATTCTAAATCATGTTTACATGAATTTGTTCAGACGAACCAAATGTATCTATGTTCTCTCCAAAAATTTGATGTATATATCGATAATCACTTAAACTTGGATCCGATTTAAATTTAAATGAGTAAGTTCAAGTCGTTACAAAATTCATATCAAATTCGAATACGATATTCAATTCTCTATGAATTGATAATAACTAAATATTACTGTACATTTCGACTTTGATGTTGAAGATATTTCGGTTCTTTCTCAGCAATATTTTTTTTAGCAAGACTTTTCTCGGTCCTCCCCCGGCAACATTTTACCCGTGTTTCATATTTCAACATTTTAAAAATTACCAGCTTATTTGATGAATTTCTGAAAGAGCCATACTTCCTTAGGTTATTGAAACGATTTTCTTTGCCTGATATATTTTCTTTTTTTCACAGCGTTACATGCCATGAGATATATTACCATACACACTGGTTATTATTATCATTTATACATATAAAGAAATTGATTTTGATAATAATGAGCGCCAGTCGTGAACATGAGTATTATTTAATTGTAATTTATAGAGATGTTGTATTATAAAATCACGTAGCACTAAATTTTTTTTTATCAAAACAAAGTTAAAATTTAAAATCTTATCAAATTTCTAGTTTTATTGTTGCAGATGCTTTAGTTTATTGTTTGTTAATGTTTTGTATTTAGTACGATTGAAGTATTTTTCATTAAGCCAGTTATTTTGGTTCAGATATTATTTCTTGGCAACGATACAGATTGAATGTTTTGTAAAAATTTCTTTCTGAATATCTGAATTCAGAAATTACATCCGAAGATAGACATTCCTTATAAATGCTTCAGTATTTACGATAGTTAAATTTGATTATGATAGCTCTGGACTTTTTCCATTTGTCCATGTTTGTATGTTGAAGCACTTAAGATTGTAATGCCGAATATATTTGAGTGATATTTAGGCGACTTCTTATTTCGCGGGACAATTTAAAATAGGAATCGAATTTTTAATTGATATATAACAATTGTATTTTTGATGAATATATTTGTGTAGTGCTTAACTTTAAAGCTCATTTGTTCATTTATTTATCTCTGTTTTTTTTTCTTGTTGGAAATTATTTCTTTGATCCGTAAATTGAAAATTTGCGGTAAAATCTTGCTTTTTAAATTACTGTCATCATTCATCGAAGGGGATTAGATACCACTTACTTATGTCGCTACTTTCATGATTGCCCCAAATCAAAGTTTTTTTTTTCTAACTTTTTTCCTTGCTCATAAATTCCGGGAATGAAACAGTACAGGTGGGACAAAGATGGTCATTTCCAAATTTTAACAGCATTAACCTTGAATACCATTTTTTACAAAAATCAAAATGAACAATATTCATCCGTTTCATCAATGTTTAACAGGGATTTTATGTTTGCCACTTACGGAAGCTATCATTCAATTACAAAAGTCAGTCGAAGTAATCAAAAATTCCGTTATTGACAACCTCAAATGATTCAACCAAAGCACATATGGAGCCAATGTTGAAAGAACGTATATTAGTAATTAATTACCGTCACTAATTAATGTCTTCTTTTGTAAACTCTTGTCAACCTTTTTTTCTGCACCATTTGTAAAATAGATTAAATAGATTAAGAATTGTGAAATAGATTAAAAATAAAAAAACTTGTGAAATAGATTAAAAATTCGATTTTATTGAGCGAATACGAATTCATTTAATATTGCTTATTTGTTGTGCTAAATTTTTGAACCAAATAATTCAACAATACCAATGAAATTATGAAAATTCACATAACCTGAACATTTTTAACGATAGCATTTTCGTAATTTATGGATGATGCGTCGTTCAGAAATTTCCTAATAACATTGCCACTTGGCTGTTTTTTATTAACAACAATAATGTTCAAATATTCTATTAGAAGCATCTCATAAAATAGCATAAGATTTTTGTTTAGAGAAAAATTGAAAATTCAATTTAATTTACATAATGTGAAATAAAAACGAAAAAAGGAAAAAAAGTAAAGATAAAGTATTTCAAATGAATTTATATGAAAATTGTATGCGACTTAAGTAGTCATTAATAATTTGTTGTCATTAAAGTTTAGTAATATGTGTTTGATACTAACATTCATAATATATGAAGTAAAGTACTGAACTCAGTTACATATATTATATATAACTTACTGGAATTCTCCCAATCACTGATTGCAAATCACGGAAATGCATAAGTTACTGATTCTTAAAAGTAATTTTTGTCTTAGAAGACATTTAAAATTTGAATCAAAATCGATGATATTTTCCCGTCTTTTTCATTAAATAATCACCAATATCGCTTAAATACATTCAAATAATTCTAATCATTGTTATCCTAACGAAATACAATAATGTGAAAAAATTATTTAATAAATCGTTTTTTCTAACTTCGAACTACTTTTTTTTTTCGGATTGGGATTAATCTTTTTATCATAACGAACAACGGTACTATCTGCGATTCAATTGCTATCAGTAATAATAAAGTGGTAAAAAAAAAGCAAAAAAATTTTACATGATCTGGAAAATATTCATTTAATGAGTTCCCAATCATTCGATAATGAATGATACTTTAATACAT